AAATAGATTCTGCTGAATACACTATGAGAGCCTCCTTTATTCTGGGCTTTTATCTTTCATGATGAGTGCTATCGAAGAACTCTACATCTGCCGAGAGGTTCTGCTTCCTTTACCTGCAGAACTCTAGTTTTCTCAAGAATTATTGACTTTTGCTTTATCACACATAGATACAAACAATAGACACCACCAGTGAACACTCCCAATGTCCTTTAGCAGCATAAATAGGGAAGGTCATATGTATGACAGTGTTTTGAAAACCATCTTGTGTCTGTGATAATACTAGAGATTGCCTTCTGGTCTCAATCCAGCAGCCAGCTCCACCCACTCTGAAAGCTATCTTATTTGAGACTACGCATGACTTTGTAAAAAGGTGGGACCATATATTCTTAAAAACACAGAATTCACTAACACTTTTTGTTTTGCTGAACAAGAGAAATGGAAACCTAAAATAATTTTATCAAAATCTCATTCTCATTAAAAAAGTAAACTCAACTATAATCTTCAAGTAATTTAAGCAGCCCCTACTTTTAGGAAAACAATATTCTTTAAAAACTGCTGACAGTGGTGGCATCCACCTTTAATCCCAGCACTTGGGAGTCAAAGGCAGGCAGATCTCTGTGAGTTCGAGGCCAGCCTGGTCTTCTACACTAGTTCCAGGACAGCCAGGGATATTATACAAAGAAACACTGTCTCAAAAGAAGAAACAAAACAAACAAACAAAAGGCCCTCACAAACAACAATAATATTCCTTTAAGCTTGGAATAACTGGAAATAGTGCAACGATCAAACACTACTAAGAGAAATCCGGATCACTAATATGTAGTATGAACAAAAATATGGAAATTGATTTTTAAATTTTTTTTCAGTTTATAAATTTAATTGGGTCATCCATATGTTCACCCCAGAAGAAAGTGTAGATTGTAAAGATAGAGGATAATAGCAACAGTTTGGCAAAAGGACTTTCTGTCTGAAGAAGTCATGTGATGAGGTACAGAGGGATAGAATGTAACTTAGAAAATGCCCAAGAGTTTCAACGGAGGAGACAGTGCAGAACCGGGAAGAGGTGGATTCTGAGGGAGTGCAAGGCAGACAATGTCTTCTTTACTTCTGCCGCAGCTGGGGACCTGTCAGGCAGCCAACAGACTCTGCACCGAGGGACCACTCTGTAGCCTGCAATGTCCTTTTACATTGGACGCAAAGAGCTCACACAAATGCTCAAATGACGTTTTGCAAGTCCAGCTACGAGGTGCCTTTCTTTCGAACTGCGTTGGCCTTTCCTTTCTGAGGAAACTGCTCCTGAGTCGCCTGAGCATGTGTCTGTGTGCACGCGGCTCGCACTTGGATGCCAAACTGTGAGCCACTTCCGTTCTCTTGGGCAGGGAGTTAAATGCTCTGCTGCTTCAATGCTAAATACTCCCCAGTCACTTCATTGTGAGGCCAAGAGAAAGGTTTAATAGCTATCTTCTCAAGCCTTGTGCCACCGGGACTGAGATGAAATAAGGGTAAATCAGATTCTCTGCCCAGTAAATCCTCTTACCCAACAGGCTCCCTGGCTCTCTCCTTAGCCTCTGAGTCAGAGTTTATCCAGAAGGCCCAAGGGAGCAGTTAGTTAGCCAAGCTGTCCAGGTAGTCAGAACAGACCCTGCAGGCTTCTTTGAAGTATGGGTTATGACTGTGGGCTAAACAGTTCTGGACACAATAAATTCTCCAAGCTTCAACTTTTCCTAAAGATATGTGACAGCAATGGCTTTGGCCCTGTGCAGTTTATCCCAAGTGGCCTTGTCTCAATATGAGGTTGATATTTTCTGACAGGAAGGCATAAAAGGGGAAACAGAGAGTTTACAGGTCAAATGGCCCTGTCTTTTCCCTCAGGCCTCCCCTGTGCATCTGCAACTGGGAATGGGGTCATTAATGCTCATCTGTGGAGACACAGGAGTGTGGCACTCAGTTCAGCCACTGTCACTGTGCTTAGAGATGCAAGAAAGAAGGAAGGAAGGAAGGAAGGAAGGAAGGAAGGAAGGAAGGAAGGAAGGAAGGAAGGAAGAGAGAAAGAACTAAGAGAAAAAAAGAAAAAAAGAAGAAAAAAGCCAAGGACAATCCAGGTCCAGGTAGAGGTAATTTTTTGAAACTTACTACTAGTTACTATGTACATCACTGAAAAGTGGTCCTGCCTTCATTATACTCCATGGAGCATGGGAAATTCTTTTAAGGAGAAACTGATAAGTTGTACAGCCCCGTGGCACATGTGGCACACAAAAGTGAATCCAGAAAGGAACCTAACATGCAGAAACTTTCATCAAAATGGTCCTTTTTGTGTTCTCATCAAATCTGAGAACTAGAAGGTCTTGAAAATCATTGAGCCTGATCTCTTTTAAAAGTGTAGAGAAGAGAAAACTGAACCCATGGGAACACAAGCAACTAGAAGTCACACAGTTATCTGGGGCCTCAGTGTAGGGAGACAGTGAATGCTGGGAGCTCTGAGCAGTTATGTGTGCTGAAGGAGGCACTAGGACTCAGAGATACTGAGATCTCACATGGGCAAGTCCTATCTCACAGCGCGGACATGAACACAGCTCCTTCACGGAGCTAAGAGGCTATCTGGCCTGCCACTGCTCACAGATGGGGGTCTTGAGGGAACATAGTTACTGACTAACAGGGTTGAGGACTGTATTGCTCCCTGCCATTAGCCCACCAGTCGTGAACATCCCTGGTTCCCAGCCATGCCCCCAATTTTAGAAGGAAGGCAACAATGGAACCCAGTGAGCAGATCCCTGTCAAACTGTTTGTATAAAAATGGAACCTTCAGGGCATCATTTGGCCAAACTGTGTCTGGTGTTCCCAACTGAAAGATGAAAGGGGTTGTTGGCCATGATTTTTATGTTCATTGGAATACTCTGTTCTATCTCACTGGGATGCTGTGAGGCTGACCTAGGCAACATCTGCAGAGTAGACATCATTGTAAAATGGTTTCTCTTTTTAGTTATACAAAATAATGTTTTTCATGATGAAATTTTCATACATAAATGTTATCATGTCTTGATCACATTAATCCTTCCTTGCTTTTCCTCCCCTGGGCCTTGTTATCACCCCAGTAGTTTCCCATACTCTCTCTTCCACTTTCATGTGGGCTTAACATTTTGAAGAATTTGCTTTTGATTTTATTCGGCGATTATACTGTTTCTTTGATTCGAATCTTCTGCTCATCTTTATTACTGTTTCTACTAGTCTTAGTTTTTTTAAATGGGCAAAATTTCTATAAATACAAAATAATTATAGGAAAATAAAGAGAATGATAATGAGACTAGGAAGAAAGGAAAAAATATATTAGTAACTCAATGGGTCACTCAGCAATTCATGTCTGAACACATAAGAACATGAGATCACGATGTGTTTATGGCACACTCGCAGTTCCAGACTGCCTCATGGTAGAACCACCACCAGAACATTCTAGACAGAGCGTAAGCTGTTTCTTTGTTTTATCTAGGGATTAGAGTTTTCTGCCTTATGAGGCACAAAAAAGTGTCTTCTCTCTACACTTACTATTTCTTCCTAGGGCTGAGGATAAGGATAGGAGAAAGGAGACATAGAAGTTATGTCCAGTCCCATCCCTTTAGAAGAGACCATTCTCAGGGATTCCCAATGGAATGTCATAATTCTCAGATGAGGACATTTGTCCCGTGATGTCAAAGCAGTGGAGGATAATTCCCTGCCAGGTTCTTTACTCCTGGATACTAAGGGTATGTCAGGAACTTTAGGAAGTCATTTCTAAACCTAATGACAACCTTGCCTTGTCTAGAAGGAATCAATGAGATGAGTCACCCTGCCAGGATGTGAGCTGGATACGCTGCTCTGTAGACCTAATGTTTTTAACCACCCGGATGCATCGTGTTGCATCTCATCAATATTGCTCTCATTTCTCCTGATGTCTTAGTAGCTAAGGGGAGCTCTGCTGAGGATGGATCAAATGATCTGAATAGACTTAGAGTAGGATGATTCAATTTTTCTATAGCCTCAAAATTAGTCAATTTTCATCATAAGTCAAGAGAAGTCTGGCCACCAAGAATAGCTTTTGAACTGAATGTCTGAGCAATCACCGTATTCTTCAGTAAACCAGTTAGTATTTTTAATGAAGGCCTGGTCTGAAAGAGAGTAGAAGGCATGTCAGAGGTGGAGTGGAAGAGTGGGGTTTTATTAGAAAGCAATTAGAAGGGAAAGGCAGAGCCGGAACTAAAATTACGCCCGGATTAATCCGCCCTGGTGACAGCAATGTGTTCAGACACACGAGTGTTTATTTTAACACTCTCATCAAATGAGGGTGTCTAAGTGTTAAATCACTTGACTGGCTCACAGGAATCTGCAAGCTTTATGCTTTCAAAGCCATCTCCCTACAGGGCTGTCTGTCCAACTTTTGACCTCAAAGGAGAGACAGCGAAATAAATGAAGGCAAAGTTGCAGCTGAGCTCACTGTATGTGACTTGGACAGGGGCAGGGACAGCACATTTTGAGTCAAGTAATTTTGCTCCCCTCTGGCCTCTGCAGTTCAGCTGTAGCAGCAGGAGGCAGCAGCTGGCGGGTTCTGTCCGGCTCTGATCTGAGTCTCTATGGCAATGCCATCGCTAACAGTCAACTCCTGAATACACACAGCTCTCATGCCTACTTTTTCCGAGAGTTCAGTAGCTATTCTTAAGATGCCAGCTAGCCAGGTCTGCTGATTTCTGACATTCACCCATGCTTTAAAAAACAAACAAACAAACAAAAAAACACAGCTTCAAAAACTCAGACACTAAAAAACAAAAAGTAATCCATCTATGAAAGGCAAGATCAATTTAATTTTGTTGTTGTTTTTATGAAGATTTCTACTCAGTCTTCTCCAGCTGAAACAGGAAAGCGTTGATTAGGCTACCCGCTGGTGAGACCCAGGAGGACAGGAAAGAGGAGAAAAGGCCGACAGGAAACACTTTCAGGTGCCCAACAACAAAGAACTCTTGTTCTGTACTTACAATAGCAGTTGGAGTGGCAGCCAGCACGCAATAGAGCACCAGAGGGGTGATGAAGCTTTCTTCCTCCGTCCCCGGGTAAGGCTTCATTAAGTCTCCATCCTGACAGAAGAATCCTTGGATATGCACCTGAAAAGTGTCAGTGCATTCGAAGTAGTAGGCAAGCAGCACTGTCCCAGTCATGATGACAAGCTGAAAATACAGCATGGCCACACAGAGACATTAGCGGGGCTTCGGAGCAGCGCTGGGCCCTCAGAGAACACTCCCTCCATCACCCTGCAGCACTTCTGGGGTTGGTATTGGCAAGGGTGCGCGCGCCTGGCGCGGCACGCTCTGGGCTTAGGGGTTGTGTGCTAGCTTGTCTGCCTGCTAACAACTGCTGTAGAAACCTTCCAGCAAATAAAGTGCAGACCCCATCTGAAGGGCCGATCACAGCAAGGCTTGTAGAGCGGCCTGGCTCTACCGCTATGCTCCCGGAGTAGCTGCGGAAACTGGGGCGGACATGCACATTCACATTCAGGTCAGAGGTGAAAGTTCGAACGGCAGAGGCTTAGTGAGAAATTTAAGATAGACTTACCGTACAAAATGTTAGTCAGTCAGGAGTAAATGACTGAGGGAGAGAGAGAGAGAGAGAGAGAGAGAGAGAGAGAGAGAGAGAGAGAGAGAGAGAGAGAG